CAATATACTGCACAACACACACACACACAAAATACTGCACAACACACACACAAAATACTGCACAACACACACACAAAATACTGCACAACACACACACAAAATACTGCACAACACACACACAAAATACTGCACAACACACACACAAAATACTGCACAACACACACACAAAATACTGCACAACACACACACAAAATACTGCACAACACACACACAAAATACTGCACAACACACACACACACAAAATAATGCACAACACACACGCGCGCACACAATATACTGCACAACACACACACACACACACACACACACACACACTTAATATAATGCACAACACACACTCACTCACTCACACACTCAATATACTGAACACACACACAATATACTGAACACACACACAATATTCTGAACACACACACACTCAAGATACTGCACAACACACACACACACACACACACACACTCAATGTACTGCACAACACACACACACACTTAATATAATGCACAACACACACATACACTCAATATACTGAACACACACAATATACTGCACAACACATACACACACAATATACTGCACAACACACAAAATATACTGCAGAACATACACACACACACACACTCCATGCACTGCACAACACACACACATACACACACACACACACACACACTCCATGCACTGCACAACACACACACATCAGCTCTGCTGGATCCAGTGTGTTCATCATGTACAGGATCATGTGAGCGCCATCACTGCTTTAAAGGAACAGTCCACCCAAAAATCAACCAGACAGTTTGGTTCCCATTGACTTTCTGAAATGACAGCGGAAGTCAACGGGAACCAAAACAGTTCGGTTCCCAGCATTCTTCAAAATATCTTTTTTTATGTTCCACTGAAGAAGGAAAGTCATACAGGTTTGTAATGAGTAAATAACGCCCGGATGATCATGTTTGGGTGAACGAACCCTTTAACACGACACACCAGCTCACGCCACTAAAATCACCTCATCACTGTACGTGCCGACGGCCGACGAGGTCTTCTCCTGACATCTTGCCCTCTACAGCCCTGAGTGTCAGCGGAGACCACGTCAACTAGATGCGCCCCGGAGACAGATCCCCTGCGAAGACCTCATCACCTCGATGGCCACGGGAACCAGACGAGTCCTCTGCTCAATCTGACCTGTGCTGCAGCCTGGAATTAAACCATGCCATGCTGGTTTCATCTGGCCAGAGGAGAACTGGCCCCCGACTGAGCCTGCTTTCTCCAAAGGTTTTTTCTCCATTTCTGTCAGCGATGGCGTTTTGGTTCCTTTGGCTTGCTTAGTTATGGACGCTTGACTTAATGCACAGACACGACTGGAAGAGAGCTGAACTGGATGATGCATCACTGAATCACCAATGAACTGACTTCAGCTGAAAAATGACTCTTGCATTATTGACAAACTATTTTCCTGTTTGACTCTGTAAAGCTGCTTTGACACAACCAGTATTGCATAAAGCGCTATACAAATAAAAGTGACCTGACTATAAAAAAACACGTCATCAACTGATATTAGAACAAAGTCATGCAAAAAAACAAGACTACTCAAATACACATTATTAAACGGTTTCATCATTTATTAAATAACATTCAAAGCACGTGATCTCAATATAGAAACAGATCATCATTATTAAACATACACTGATACAGAACGATGAGAAACTTCAGAAATAAACCTTTATTGAGAATGTCAACAAACGTCACAATGCAGTGGAGTAATATGTTCATATATATATTCATTGGTAGATCTACTCGCTATGATAGTGAACACAAACGCTCGGATTAAAACAAAGATAAACCATCAATAAATATGCAGCAATCCACGACACACGGCATAAACACGTCGGTTATTAAGAGCAACATTTGTTCGTTTTGTACTGCAGCATCATCATCATCATCATCATGTGTGTGTGTTTGGAATGAAGCAAACGATCATCATTAGTGAAAATGGGGAATAAATGAGGCCTGCAGCACAAGCATCATGTGACACATGCACTGAACTGACAGCACATTCAGTGATATAATAACGTCAGCTGCTGGGACGCGTCTTTAAGGCTTTTCATGGAGCGTGATTGTTTTAAACGTCTCTGCGTTTGGCCTTCAACACATTCAACAAGCTCAATTAAACCGTTTACTGCAGCAGAATCATTTAGAAAAACACTGTTCCCTCCATCAGATGTTCTCTCGGACCGAGTCAACGAATGTCTGAAATGTTCTGTCTCTGAATACTGACAGCTGAAGATTGTTCCCTTCGTAGGTGAAATATGAGCATGTGGATTGCATCAGGAGCGTCTGTCTCTCCACTGCTGCTAAACACACACGAGAGCAAAGAGACGAAACTTTATTAAACGGTTTCATCATTTATTAAATAACATTCAAAGCACGTGATCTCAATATAGAAACAGATCATCATTATTAAACATACACTGATACAGAACGATGAGAAACTTCAGAAATAAACCTTTATTGAGAATGTCAACAAACGTCACAATGCAGTGGAGTAATATGTTCATATATATATTCATTGGTAGATCTACTCGCTATGATAGTGAACACAAACGCTCGGATTAAAACAAAGATAAACCATCAATAAATATGCAGCAATCCACGACACACGGCATAAACACGTCGGTTATTAAGAGCAACATTTGTTCGTTTTGTACTGCAGCATCATCATCATCATCATGTGTGTGTGTGTTTGGAATGAAGCAAACGATCATTCACATCATTAGTGAAAATGGGGAATAAATGAGGCCTGCAGCACAAGCATCATGTGACACATGCACTGAACTGACAGCACATTCAGTGATATAATAACGTCAGCTGCTGGGACGCGTCTTTAAGGCTTTTCATGGAGCGTGATTGTTTTAAACGTCTCTGCGTTTGGCCTTCAACACATTCAACAAGCTCAATTAAACCGTTTACTGCAGCAGAATCATTTAGAAAAACACTGTTCCCTCCATCAGATGTTCTCTCGGACCGAGTCAACGAATGTCTGAAATGTTCTGTCTCTGAATACTGACAGCTGAAGATTGTTCCCTTCGCAGGTGAAATATGAGCATGTGGATTGGATCAGGAGCGTCTGTCTCTCCACTGCTGCTAAACACACACGAGAGCAAAGAGACGAAACTTACAGAAGCCCGTTTCCACCACACAATAAAACAAGAAGAAAAAAAAAAGGTACTTGCGACTTTTTATCTCACAATTCAGAGTTTATTTCGCAATTCTAAGTTTGTTCGCAATTCTGAGTTTATATTTTGCAACTCTTGAGTTTATATCTCACATAGAGTCAGGATTGTGAGATAAAAAGTCACAATTACCTTTTTTATTTTTTTTATTCCATGGCGGAAACAAGCTTCCATAGATATTTGATATATAATTCCCAGAACCCGAGTATATCCACTGCTGACTAATGCGTCAAACCCACTGCAAGCGTTAATGGTGAACACTGTAAAGGTGACTTTGACACTGGAGCACGAGAGACTGTGCAGTTAAACACGTCACCTAAAGAGAGAAAGCGCCTGTGACGTTTGTCTTGTGTTGTTCGGTTTTGGATGCATCACATACGTCCTCAAGCAACATGAAATCATCATTTATCATATATTACACAAAAAAAGTATCTGTGAAACAGCAATGATTGCTCGCCAGCAGAAGCTGCTCAAACCCACAGATGGCAAAAAGAGCAAAAACCATCAAATCTGCAGAATGAACAGAGTTTAGTCTGAAAGTACGGACATCATCAGCGAGGTCACGATGAGGGAAACGGCGACAGATGAAAGTATCGACATCGATTATCAGCAGATCAGAGATGAGAGATAGAGGAACAGATGAAGAGCCCAAAGACGATGTCACGTCAACCGAAGAAAGAAAAGAAGAAGCAGGACTGAGGAGAGACACGTCCATCTGATGACTAAAGGACACCCACAACGGCACAGGATGGACGTCCAGAGGAAACAAACAAACACGGCCCTTCCTGTGTGAGGAGGAAGAAGATGAAGGAAACTCTTGATGGCTTTATGCCTGATGAAGAGAGAGAGAGAGAGAGAGAGAGAGACAGCACACCATTAAGAGCTTAAATCAAACACGAGTGGCCTGTCCGTCTCTCTGTCTGTTTGTCTGTCTGTCTTTCCATCCGTCTCTCTGTCTGTCCATTTATCTGTCTGTCTGTCCGTTTAATCTGTCTGTCGGTCCATTCATCTCTCTGTTTATCTGTCTGTCTGTCTGTCCGTCCGTCTCTTTGTCTCTCTATCTGTCTGTCCTTCTCTCTGTCTGTC